GATTGTTTGTTTGCTTATTTTCTCAGTCAAAAAAACATTCACACTACCGTTCGTGCTCTTTACCAAACTTCTTACTTCACTTTTTTGAAAAATGAAATGGTCTTTCCTTTTACTCCTGATCAACAATCAAATATCTTTTCTTGAATTATGAATAACATGAATGGATTGAAATATTTAATTAAATTATCTCAAAATAAACTATCATTTCGGTGCAATATTGAAATTAGCTTGAATTCTTCATAACCTCTGAATAGTGGTTGACTCAATGGGTCACAGTGGTCTGGTAGTGGTTTAAAATCCATGGTTAAAGCCCCCCTCAGTGTACAGAGTGCAGACAGCCCATTGTGTAGTTTTATGCTGAAAACAAACAACAAACCAACCATCCTCTTTAGTGCTTCCTACCTACTTAGAGATTTTCATGTAAATAGGTTAACATTTTTAATGGTGATGTATGTTTTCAGACCGTTATTATTCCAAGTCTAGTAATTTCTGACAAATGCAGTTAAATGAACAAGTTATTCAACAATCAACTTTTTACCAAATGAAGAATAATGAATATTAACTTGCTGTAAGCAAACTTACCTTAAGTAACACTTATTATTTGTTGGATGTAATAAGTAAGCAGTATATCAAGCTAAACCAAAACTGCTGTGTAGTCCAAACAAAGTAAATACAAACAACAGGCATTATTTTGGCTAGTTATGCAACCAATGGCTACTAGGCCACACCCTCATGTTGTGTACATGTTGTTAAATGCAGTCATGCCAACAGAAACAATATAAGCTATCACATGTACGAGCACATTTGGTGTGTTTCTGATTTATGGCAAAGTTATTAAGGTTATAAATAATCCAATAGAAAATGTTGAAGAGAATTATTAAAATTTTTTAGAAAAGGTAGGATGAGGAATTGTGTAGCATATGGATTTCACTTTTTTTTCATGTTTTAGCAAGAAGTTTTATATACTGGCTTGCAAATATCTACAGTATACTTTTGTATTTCGTGGGACACTAAGAATATCATGTTAAGGGTAGAAAGAAAATTTAAAATAGGCTATTTGGAGCACAGATGGATCAAGTGATACAGAGAAGTGGAGATTGAGAATATGTTTAAATATTTTCATTTAAAATTGAGAAATTAAAACTCAGATAATATAGAACTTGGAACTATACACTATTTTGATGTCTAGCTTATTTACACACATTCATAATTAATAATGAAGTTGTTTAATCAAATTTTGAATGTAATTCTTCTAAAAAGTCCTGACATTTGCACTTTGACCCTACCATATGTATAGGGTTAAAAAGCTTGAAAAAAATCAAATTCATCAAACTTTCTTAAGTTTAGAAACAAATAACTTTTATTCTTAGATTTACAGCGATTAGAACTTATAATAACTAAATAAACTATATTTTTCAATTACGTAAACTGGGAAATCATTTTGAATTCAAACCCATTGTCAGTACATATTACAGAATATACAAGCAATTTACTACAGACTGAAAAAAAACTCTAGTGGCACAGTGGTATGTCTGTGGACTTACACTGCTAAAAACTGGGTTTCGATACCCATGGTGTGCAGATCAGAGATTAGTCCCATGTGTAGCTTTGTGCTTAATTATAAACAATAACAAAAACGACTGAAAAAAATCTCCAAAGTTAGTTTTATACTAGGTAAAAAAAAGTTTGATGTTTTGTCTCAACTTCTTGGCTATGGCCATTTCTAGTATTGTTTTTTTTAGTAAATTTCAACTTTCTTGCGAAGAGAGAGGCTTAGCCATTGTTTAGACCTGGCCCAATACCAAGATAAATTTCCACTATATTGTATTTCTTTGTGAACAGTAAAGTGCTTTGACAATAACTTCAGAAATATCTTTACAAGACTTGTCATTTGTATAAAGCATTTACAGAATGTGTAGTCTACATTTGGCCTGATCCATGTTATTACCGTGTTTACTGTTTGCATACAAGTCCTAAATATTCTTTTTAAACATTCTTTCATTTGAGTCAGTGCCAATGCAAGGTACAAGGCATTTAATTATAAACAAAGATATTTAGGACATGTAACTGGAATTATATAACATCTGTTATAGCAGATATTTCTAGGAAAAGTTAGTACTACAGAGTGATGCTACTATTGCTGTGTTATTGAATGAGCTTGTCAATATATCTTTGCATAGTACCATCTAGCAAGTATTGTATTTTGGAAAAGTTACTAACTTCATTGGAAATAAAATATTTTAGTTTGTATGTATTTATTATTTTCATTAAAAATAAATATAAGCATTTAAGTGTATGACAAACCTGCAGTTTAACTTTTGTCACTCTGTAAGTAGGTCTAAATTCCTTTAAGGCATTTTGTCTTTGTATTATCAATACCAACCCCAGAGAAAAGGAAAATATTTCAAATGGCACTGGTTGAGTTTTTTTTTTTCTTCTTCTTCTCCTCCTCCTCCTCCTCCCAGAAGAATTATATTATTTGACTGATAAGACTCTGCCATTGTTAAAGTATGCCTTATCAAACTGTAAAGGATCATGGAAATATCATCTCCACAGTAACACTGACTCCACTGAATGCATAGTAACTAATAATATAGCATTTTGAAATTGTGGTACACCATGAGTAACCAGTATACCACTAATTACTAATAAATGCATACATATGTGTCATTTTTGCAGTAAAATGTCAATGATTGTCAAAGTTTCTTGCTATTTTGATATCTTTCATTAACTAAAACTAAATTAATCATACTATTTAGAATTATGCTCCTAACATTATATTCATAAATGCCTGTTAAAATCTGCTTCTTCAGAGATTCTCTCTCTCTCTCTCATTCATTTTTGATTGAGGTAAAAATTGTATGGTCTTTGATTAGAATTACCTGTGAGGTTTGCTTGCTTGATTTTTACAAAACTGCAGAACAGATCCTATGAGAGATGCTTTTGTGATCTTGAGGTTCAAAATGAAATTCCTAAGCATAATTCAGTGAAAAGTCCATTGAATGTGTATGTTTTTAAGTATTAATATGTGGTCGAGATCTTCACTGAAGTGGCATCTAATTGTTTTGTATGCATGCTAAGTGAAGAAAAATGCTACTAGAGTTTAAATTCTGTTTATTTGGTTTTTGTAAAGTTTTGTAAAACATAGTCTAATTAACAGTTTCTTTAAGTTTAAAAAACTATAATAGATCACATTATTTATCGTATGTTTTAGTAATATAAACATTACTAAAAGATTATTTTGTATAATATGCATGTTACTAACTTCTTTATACTATTTTCTCAGAGGTCTTTTAGCTCGTTCCGTTATACAGGCACAAGCAATATCACCTACTTTCAGCCATGTGTATTCTGCTTTTGTTGCAGTCATCAATTCTAAGGTAATACATAGTATTTAGATTTGCCTTAATAATCCCATGATTAAAATTGTACACAAGGGGTAATAATATTATCTGGTTCTTACCTTAATTGAGAATAATGCTTTGTGTAATTTTATATAATACAATTAGTTTTTCTTAAATTTAGTGAGATGAATAATAACATTTTTACTGAGAATAAATTGATTACTATTTTAAGTTTTCAAACTTTATTCACATTTGTAAAGAATATTAAAACAATTTTCACCTGTTTAGTACTACATGATACAGTATTGGTGGCTAACTTTTTATTAACTGAACCATTGACATTCAAAAGGGAGAGAAAGTTTTCCAGACAAATATGAGTCAGCACCTAAACATTTGCATAGTAGGAATTTCACTTCTTAAATCATCATTTTGTTTGGCAATATAACCTACATTCTATATCTATTTTTGCATACAAAATGTTACATACCAGTCCTGATGTATGCTGCTCTAATCCTAACCAAAACTTTGCATGTGAAATTCTGAAAACTGGTCTCTTTTTTTGTATGGTTTTAAAATAATTTGCTTATGTGGAAACAACATAAATAACTATTTATAAGATGTATTACTATTGTAGTTTTAGACTTGGATTATTTTTATATGTTTATGAAGTCTTCTTTCTAATATCTTGTTATATTGCTGCTTTCAACTTATATGTGCAATTCTGCTGTACTACATTAATATACAATGCTCTCAAAAACTGAGTAAACAAATTTCCTTACATGGTTCTATGAGTATAAAATCTTTATGCAGGAGTGAATAGAACAAAAAAAAAAAGAAAGCTGCAGCTTTAGTGATTGATACATTTTACCCTTGACTTCCTTTCAGTATGAATGTAGGGAAGTGAATAACTTGAGTCAGCTAATCATAAACTTTCATGGAGCATAACATTGAACATGATCAGGAATTCAGAATCATAAATTTATTTGACACATCTGATAAGATGTAATCCATCTTTCCTAATCAAAGTTAAATAAAATACCTACTTGTGTGTATGATCTCTCTTGAAGTAGTGATTAGCATACCAAAATTACTGCCTGTCAGCTCACATGTTATTAGTTGACATAGTATATATTGCAATGTTTTTAAATTGTAGGGAAACTGAGAAGCTTTACCTAGGATGTCTTTTTTTTTGAAATTTTTTTTAGCTTAATCGATTTCCTATAAAAATGTTTATAATACTGGTGTTTACTATTTTGGCAAAAGAGAAAAACTTAAAAATTCAATATTTGCTATGGATAAGAAAGTAATAGTTCTTTTACTACAAATGCCAAAGTTCATTCATATTTGTGTGGAAAAGATATCTCCTGATTGTCATTAGTGTAGTGTCCTGGACCCCATTAAATGGCCCAGGGTCTCTGACCTACAGCACTTCTTTATTTCAATTCCAATTGTGTAACTAACTTCTCTTGAAAATGAGGTTATGTTTCCGAGATACAGAGAAAAAATAAACCAAGTAAGCACCAGAAAGCTGATTTGGAGAATGAACATCTCTTCTGTTTTGTATTTTACTATATTTTTGAACATTCATTGTTCTCTTTGTTAAATCATATCATTGCTATGTTTCATTTCTTGAATGATAACATTGTTTTTCTGCATGATTCTTAATAATTTTAATAATAACACTGTCTCACATCTTCTTGTAATACATTCTAAACACTTTTTTTGTTTCTTTCCTTGGATGTTCATGATGTCAGAAAAACACATAGGTTCAAGAAGTCTTGATACAGTATGATAAAACACTATAACCCGAGTGCTTTCAAAAGGTGGACCTTTCTTCTTTTGGGGTAAACTGAAAAAGAAAGGTCCACTTTTCGAAAGAGCTCAGGTTATAGGGCTTTTATTATTTTCTTGGACATTAGTATTGATACAGCATTCTTACCTAAACTGGAACAATACTTTGTTTCTTGTGTTGGATATTACTGTTGATATAGTATGTTTCTGGTCTTGGATATTACTGTTGATATAGTATGTTTCTTGTCTTGGATATTACTGTAAACTGTAGCTCTGTGTAGTGTTCCTTATTTTTGTTACATTTTCTACTGTGAATTATGACATTGTTACATGTTTTGTACCTTCAAAGAATTGTATTTTTATTTTCTTCAAATGATAATTTGAAAACATATTTCTTAAGTGTTAACTTTTTTTGCTTCTTTTGCATGAATATATTGTTTTATTTGTTTGTAAGTAAAATGATATTTCCACAGATGCATGTAAATTGCATGATGTATACTGAAAGATAACCCTATAATATTTTGTTCTTGAACAATACAGTTCCAATAAGAAGAAAAACTTAATAATAAAACTTGATTATACTCTTTCTGTTTTTAAGCATTCCAGTGTTTTCTAACAGTATAGTTCTTGCTATTTATCTTTATTCATATATCTTTGAAAACAGACAAACTATCCAATAGAACAGCTGACATAATTCTCAGGAAATTTCTTGAACACATAAGATTTATATACCATAGAATATCAATGTTATAGTTTGTTTATTTTTAAAATTTTTACAAATCTTATATTAGTACATTTTGTTGCACTCTTAATACAAGAATTGATACATATGTATGTGAGTACATATATATATATATATATATACACACACACACACGCACATACTTACATACACTCATTTGTGTGTGTTTTACAGTTTCCTCAAATTGGAGAGCTCATCCTCCGACGTCTTATAATCCAGTTTCGTCGTGGTTTTCGAAGAAATGATAAACAGCTTAGTCTCTCTTCTTCAAGGTTTCTTGCTCATCTGATTAATCAGGAAGTGGTATGTACTTCAATAATTTTTTTTGTAATTAAAGTCAGTATCCTTTTTGAATTATTTAGGAGTTTTTGAAAACATGTTAGTTTAGATCAGTGTACTGACCTTATATTTAGTGCGTGAAATTCTCAAGTTCTAAACTTTTTGTAAATATGTACATTTGTGCCTGAAAATGTAAAAGTGAAGCTCACTGATACTAATGGGAATTTAGGCAGCCTTGAAGTGCCATTATTCTTATGGAGTTGGGCTTAGTTAATTTGACCAACCTTGTAACCATGAAAGTATTTTTACTAAAGATTTCTCTGTGAACTTATAAAGTTTTTACTGAGCCCATCTAAGTGAAAGATGATTTTCATTTTTCATCCTAACAATAAAAACATTTCCATTCATCTTACGGTTTTCATATTTTATTTGGATAACCTCTAAAACCTTCTAAAAGAATATCAAAAGTTTTTTTGAGGTAAGATCTTTATACTTAAGCTATATTTTTTATTTTCTATTGCTAACTGTAGTAAAATCATCTGTAGCAAAAGTTGAAAAATGTGAAATAAAATCAAAATATCTTTTTTTTTTTTTTATTCTTGAATGATGGCAGATTGTTACAGACAGTTATTTATTTATTCTAGATAACCCTAGATCCCTAACAGTTTCATGTCTGCTTTAATTTAATTTTATTGTTTTACTAGCAGAGACCTGCAAAACATTTACAGTCAAGATTGTATCTTTATTGCAAAAGTACTTTTTTAAGTACAAGATTTCTAGAATAATACAAAATAATTCTAATCACAGACAACAAAATCTACAAGTCACTTGTCTTAGGCCTAGCATTTGTTAAGCCTTTATTAAGTACGACCTATATTTGATAAAGAGATGATATAACACTGTAGCTTGTTTAAGTTTTTGCTTTAGTTTATATAGGATTAAACTTTCCTGTACTTAATACTATCAATAAATAAACCTATAATGTTATTCTATGACCTCATGTTAGACCTTCTTGAAAATTTGATAAGCTTTTAATATTTTTTTGGACAAAATGTCTGTTAAGATATATTTACATCTGCCTTTTGTTTACGTTCATTGAAATGAGGTATGTGTGTGTGTGGTTAGATAGTAAGGTGTGCACACATTTTTAGGACAGATAAAAACTGAATATTATTATAATAGATTACCTTTGGAATCATGTGTGTGTATGTGTGTTTAGATAGTAAGGTGTGCACACATTTTTAGGACAGATAAAAACAGAATATTATTATAATAGATTGCCTTTGGAATCGTGTGTGTATGTGTGTTTAGATAGTAAGGTGTGCACACATTTTTAGACAGATAAAAACTGAATATTATTATAATAGATTGCCTTTGGAATCATGCGTAAGTAGTGTAACAAAACAATAAAATAACTTGGTAGGAGCATAGGATAAATAAACTATCTAGTTACATCATGTGGTGGTAGGTTATGTGAATTGCTTGAGGAGAAATTTTTTGATTTATTTATTTTTTTCATTTAAGTTTTATTACCTAACCTATTAAGTTTCTAATTTTTACACTTTATTTACTTTTAAAAAAATATGTAACAGCAAATAGAAATACACACAAAAACCCAGAAATTTAATACTAACTTTAGTCTTGAGGCCTTTTGCACGGGTTGCATGGTTTAGTATGAATATATCTTCCTGTCACTAAGTTGGTTGTCCAAATCTAATTTTTGTAGCTTTCAAATATGCATTTTAGAACATAAAATAAATATTAGACACTAGAATAGAATGTCCCATATCTACTATAATTTTTCTGTATTTCTAACTAACCAATAAATATATGAAAAAATGTCCAGTACTCTTCAGAGATACGTCTTTATGCTAGACATATCAAGCTCTTCCCAGAAATTATTGACTTTGAATGCTAAACCAAAACAAATACATGCTCTTTCTATTGGTTAGAAACATGTCCAATAGCAATGGAAGAGAGAATTATAGACAAATCGTTAAAAAATAGAGGATATGAGAAGAGCTTATCAATGTAGGTTGAACAAATACAGTGATATCTCATTAAAGGAAAAAGATAAGAGGCTAAAATTTTATATTCTTGCTTGGCAATATCTATAGTATGCGTTTCTTATTGATTTAAGCCCTCATAAGGGAAGAAAAAACCTATAAATAAGACAACAGATCACGCTGTCATATAACTTAGTGGTGCAAATTGACATTTTATTTAAGTATTTCATTTTGAACTTAGGAAATTGAAACTTAGATGATATAAAAAGTTGAAGTACAAACTAAACTTTGATGCCAAGTTTATTAACATACATTGAAAATAAAATAGTTTAATGAAATTTTGAATGTAACTAAAAATGTTGTGACATGCGAATTTCGACCCTCCTGGGTCCATAGGGTTAATAGATAATATGAAGTCACATGCCAAAAATTAAGAAACATTGTAAAGGCCAAACTTTTAAAACCATTTTGAGAATTTTGGTAAATTCTTTTATTACTGAATTTAATTGGCTTGTTATTTGCAATCCTGCATTTTTTTCATTTCTAGGCAGCAGAAATAATATCTCAGTGATGTGCAAATAATAGTTCAGTGATGTGTAAAACCAAGTGATAAGAGGGGAACACTGGTTGATCTAAGTTTACAAACTTACATAATATATTAAGAAGTTACAACTCAAACAATTTTTGATATATGATTTAACTTGCTTATTGAATTTAAAATAGTGTAACAAATAATCCCCACCCACTTACCAAAAACTATGGTTTTACTTATTATTTTCTTAGATTGTACTTCAGATTAATAATGAGACTAGGTACAACATGCAAAACATTTGCAGTAGTTTTCATGCTCTTTGCTTGAGTTTTCCTTATTCTGTCATTTTCATACATGCCACATAAACTAATCTTTTTTTGCAGGCATTATTTATTAGATCAAGAAATCCTTATCTGTTTGAAAAATTTTACGTGGTCAGACAAACTCACATAGACATAAGTATATTTAATAAAACTACATGTAAAGTAAACAGTAAATTATAGTAATGGTATTTATAATAGTGTACAGTGTATGAAACAGTTGTGAGCATACAGTGTATGACACAGTTTTATGAGTGAAAACAAAGAAACTTACAGAAATGAAGAATAAAACCCATAGTCAAGAAAAATGTAGTTAAATGGTGTTTATAGCAGTCTAAGAAATGAACAAAAGCTAAATTATTGTAAAGTAAAGTAAATGTAATGTAGTGAAGGCAAAGTTAGCTGAATATGCAGAAACATCTGAATGCATGTTCACCAAATGATAAGCATATGGTTTGGAATGAACTGTGCATATGTACTTTAGACCTAAATAAGTCGAGAAAACCCATAGAAATTGTGTTTAGTGTAATGTTAATTTCATTTAGGAAATTAAATGGGTTAAGTGTTGTTTATTTTTATAAAATGCTTCGCAAATAAAAAACTGAAGTTGAAATTGAAGTCAGTCTTCGTGATGACAATGACATTGTGCCACATCACTCGTTTTTAATGAAAAAACTAGTGCCCTTGAACAGACCCTTACTCAAAATAGTATCTCAGTCTACTGTACACTTATCCATGTCTACACTACACATGTAATGTTGACTCTGATCTTTGACCAAAATCATTTGCAAGTTCCCTAACTTATTTGAACACTCACAAAAAAATATCTTTTGGTCCATTTTTTTTTTGTACAAGAGAAATTTTGGTACAATCCACCAAAAGGGGCTGAAAATGTTTTGTAAATTTAATGGTTTTAGTTCCTACCGAAGGTTTTTTAGTAAAGAGTTGAGACAGCCATATTAGTTTTATTGTTGTAAGCATCTATACTAGAAATTAATCTCACTAAATATTTGTGTTATCAGAGTTCATTTTTGTTATGAATTCCTGCCTACCCATATATTTGCATACAAACATAGTGCAGTACAATGTGTGATAATGTAATTAAGCTGTATACACTGTACTGTGTTATCACACATAGCCATTCATGCTCAATTGTACTCCATACAAAATTTACGTGCATAAAACAGCACAGAGGTATAGCTTGTTTATGATAGAAAGTTTAGTGACTGAAACAGCATTATTAGCCAATCACAAAATCAAAATTTTTCTAATATTTTCAGCCCCTTTTGGTGGATTGTACCAATATTTCTCTTGTACAAAGTACCAAACTCGAAATGTTTATTTGTTAATCATCACAGTTGAAACACTTACTTCCCCCTTTCGATTGTGCACATATAGGCCTAAGGCTTTTGTTAGACAGACAACCAATGGAATCTAGGAAATACAGAAGGCTTAGCTACCATGAGAAAAGCAGGAAAATCCAGGAATTAAACATAGCATAATAATAACTCCAAACAAAATTTTATGAAAGTTTCAATCAGTACAAAATCAGGCTAGATTTGCCTCTCTCTTTTAATGTAACAAAACTTCTTGAATCTTTTTTTGAAGGTCTATGTTTTTTTGACAACCAATAAAGCCTTCTGGACAATCTTTGATACAGGTAAGGTTGTCCATTGGACAACCTTGAGATTTCCTTAAAATCAAGCCTTGTGCCATTGTGTACCATACTTGTTGCATTGAAAAGTTTGTCTAAACAAAAAAACAACTAAGGTGAATCTGAATGGAAAAACCAATATGCAATCCTGACTTCTCAACAAAGGTCTTTCTAACAATATGATATTTATAGTGTTTGATTGAGAAATATATGAGAAAAGTTCCAGACAGACAAATGCAAGCGTATTATTTATATAGATTAGTTCTGGAAATATAAATAAACATATGACAGCACAATTCTCTAATGGAATAAAATAACAAAGGTTACATTTCAAACATTAATGTACATTTGAAAGCAGAACTTGACACATTAGCTTAATTTGTTTTGTCGTATGATTAACAAAACTTACAGACTTTACTACTAACAAAGTGGTGTTTGAAGGTATCCATTTAATTTCAGTTTATCAAATTCCAAAAAGAATATCAGTAAAACATAGTTAAAAGGAGGGTGAAACTAAAAATTATTTTGTAATATGGTTCAGGCTCATGAAGTGGTGGCTTTGGAAATGTTGACCCTGCTTCTAGAGACACCAACTGATGACTCGGTGGAGTTAGCTATCAGTTTCCTCAAAGAGTGTGGGATGAAGTTGAGTGAAGTCTCTCCACGTGGGATCAATGGTATTGAACTGTATGAACATCTGGACAAATGTTCTTTTTATAAGAAAAAATTAGTGTAGAATTTATCAGAATTGCTTTTAGTTTATAGAGGATTTGTGATTACATTGAGCTGTACTAGTTATGATAATAATTATGAAAAGAATCTAATACTTTGTGCAATAATTTTTTAAGGTATTAAGGAGTTAGAATTCTTCATAAAAAATTTTTTAAGAATTAATTGGGTGATGGATGATTATAAGCATACATATTAAAAGAGGATATTACTTTTGGTTTACCATTAGAAAATTTGTAAGTGCCAGATAGATGAGTCCTTTTGAAATGGAATGTAAATAACAAACTAATATTAAAGCTTCATTAATGCTAGAACAGTATAAAAATACTTCTTTCAAATTTATTATGAAACATGTTTTATAATTATATATTTTTCACAAAGATTTCATAAAGATATATTGAATAATTTATGAGAATGCCTAAAGCTAAAAATATAGTCTCGGGATACATGAGGTGTTAGATAACGTGAAACTGAAGCCCTATAGTTAGTCTCGGGATACATGAGGTGTTAGATAACGTGAAACTGAAGCCCTATAGTTAAACCAATTTTGTTAAAGTGACAATCATAAATCAGTTCAAGCATGTTACAGTTTTAATTTTGATCAGCTGTGCTTGCAATGTTTTTTGGGGGGCAACAACTAATGAAAAAATTTAAACCAGTAATAGTTAATTGAGAAAATAATTATACAAGAGTAACATAAAATCAAAGTATGTAAGTATTTTCTATTTTCATGGCTTTCCCAGTGGTGATTCAGAAGACTTATATTTTAATGAATGGTGGTTGACTGAGAGGAAAATATTTTATTATATCTTTTTATTGGTGTATTGTAATGCTTACATAGTTAAGAATAGGTAGAATTTCAAAATTTAATCATCATAATGGTATTTTTAATTTTTTTCCCAAGAAGAAAGAAATTTACAAAGTTACTTAGTTAACTTAAAATGTGAGAGTTTAAGTAATGTTACGTGATATTTCTTAGTTCTTAAATCGTTCCAGAAAAAGATCTTCAATATGTGGTTAACCTCAGAGTTGAAGCTGCAATTGACAAATTAAGGGGAATATTTAGAAAAATATTTGGTTTTGTTACAAGGTTATTAATATTGGGAAGTGTCCAGTTAAGCTTCAAAATGACCTTGATAAAGAATTAAGCTCTTACTGTCAGGGTTTATATTATATTTTTTGAATCAGTATTTTATTACTGCATAGTGTATGATTAATGTTTTATATGTTGAAACATCATCTTAGTAGTTGAAATTAGACGTAATTAAATTATTAATTGTTAGACAAGTTAAGCTTGAATTGTCTTTATGTAGCCGTCTTTGAAAGATTGCGGAACATCCTGCACGAAAGTCAGCTAGACAAAAGAGTACAATATATGATTGAAGTCATGTTTGCAATAAGAAAGGATAAATTTAAGGTAAGCTATAATAAGATAAAGGAATGGTTGTGTTTAATAAAGATTAATAGTGCAGTAAAATAAGTAAGAAAATTATGTTAGAATAGTATTTCATGAAGGAGCTGCACATTTGCTTTTACAGGATTATTGTCATGATTGGAGGTGTAATTATTAGTATGTGTTTAGTGTAGGACGTTATTCTCACTTTTAAACAAAAACTAGTAGAACTATTGACAATACAAATCATGAATTAATGAAGCTATATTAGGTGATGTTTTGACATAATATTTAAAGTATTTGAAAATTGAACAAAGTAAAGTATATTATATGACAAAAGAAGAAACCCAATTTAATAAGTAAATCTCTAATTTTCAATAGTGATAGATTTGTGGCCTGCTATTTTTTTTTTACTGTGATTTGTTATACCTTCCTTCTGTGTATATTAATACCTTTTGGTTTATCTTTGTACATTAGACATTTTTCTTTCAAAGTTTAGTACACCATAAGTATGTCTACATTTATTCACTTTGTATTATAAAACTTGAATTACATTTTTTGGTTCCATCAGTAGTAAGAGTAGCTCAATTCCAGACTGGTTTTTCAAGTATTTGTTTGCTTATTGTAGGAAGTTCAGTTTTTTTTGTTTTTTTTTGCCATCATGTGTTAAAGTATCCAATATTATTATATTATAAACATAATTTATGTGAAAATCATTCCTTTTCCAATTACACAATATCAAAACTTCAAACATTTTATGTGAGATCAACTACTAATTATTGCGTTCATGTGAAGGTTAAATCCTGTCAGATGGGTAATAATTTTACTTGGAAGCAGCATAAAATTTGTAGTAACAAAAACTATTGAATTTTATAAAATCTGATTAAACAAGAAGAAATTGATAATGGATCATTTGCAATGAATCAATTTTCCTTATTTACTTTGTCAGCAATGAGTGAACGTTAGAACCTACAACCAGTAGTAAAGTAACAATATCCTCTCATTTTCCAGAAATAATAATTTTCATTAATTATCTTGCATAATTCAGGCTAAATGTTTCCAAAAAGGTTTTAGTAATGAATCATTTTGCATGAAACATCTTACTTTAACTGAAATTAATTTATTCTCCTTCTGTTTCAAGCATCATCTTAACTCACAAAATATCATCTTTAGATCTGAAGAATTCTAATGAAATATTACTTAAGTGTTTCTATTGTGACTTTTTGGTTAAACCAATTCTGAATTCAAGCCAGATGTTTAGAAATAGCATTTCAAATTTGCATTTTGTCTTGAACAGTAAACTCTGCATGTATTTTTCTGCTCATTATTACAAAAAACATTGTGTTGTATGCATGGCAACCAAAAAAATCAAAAATAGTAATATTTATGTATTATAAAAGTTATGAATAAATATTTAAGGGGATAAAGAGGGAATTTTTTAGGCTACAGAAATGTGATATAATTTCATTTAGACTGCATGTGTTTGTTCTCATAATGCTCTTGGCCAGTTCAATTTGAATTTCAAACAAAAGATGTGTGTGAAAATAACATTTATTTCTAGGCATTTAATGCTATAACAATGATAGTTTTTTTATTGTGATAGATCAAGTATAACTGATGGCTTGTCATATTCAACAATGTACTTGTGGATAATGATCTGTGGTAGATCAATAATTATTTTTTCATGTACCTGCAATTTAAAACAGAAATTAGATTCTAAGAACATTATAAGAAAAAAGTCTGTATCAGTATCATTCCATTCTGAAACTTTTAAATTGTGTGGGAATTTTTTTCAAAATGATACAAATTGATTCATAATCTCTAAGATTCACTTTTATTGTCACTTATATTACTGTAGGATCATCCATCAAGTATAGATGATTTGGACTTAATTGAAGAAGCTGATCAGTACACTCACCTTATTACACTTGAAGAAGCCACTAATCCTGAAGACTTGTTGAGTGAGTGGAAATTTGTCCTAACTGAATTGCATTGTATTTAAAGTTATGGTTACATAAAATATTGCTTATTGGATATAGCTGAAATAATATTTCTAGGTTGGCTAAGTGTGTTACCAGTTATGTAGAAGGCTTCTTTTATCCTTCTTTTTCTTGTGTATGGTTTTTATCCATATATTTTAGTGTTATTACAGTTTATTGTATTGTCTTCTCTCATTTCATTGGCTATTGCAGAGAAACTAGTATTACAGTCTTATATGTGTATCATGCTCCTGAATTCTAATTTTTGTTGGTCCTTTTGTTTTTCAAGTCTATTGGAGTCCACATTCACAAGGACCTTGGAAATAATAATAATAAAAACAAATACTGTTAACCATGACAATGAACATTTAAATATGATCAGATATAATCTATCATATATTGTTTATGCAAATGTAGAGTAAATAAAGTGGTTTGAACAGTAATTTATGGTTTATTAAGATCAATATCTAGCAGGATCTCGTACAGGGGTGATCAATGGAATATCATGGGAACTTTAGAAGACATAGGTACACACCAAAGATTGAGGAACATTTCATAGTTTCTTTAGATGTTTGTTTCATTCCTGAAAATTTTGTTTGTGTGTGTGTGTGTATGTGTTATATCTATTTGAAAACTACAATAATTTTCTTCTATGATAAGACAGTATGTAAGTTTTAACAGGTAAGTTATGCAAGTACTGTAGGAAACAGGAAAATATTCCAATTACTCATTGTTATATATTGAATGTTTTTATGTTTATCATATTCAACAACTTTGTTTATAATTAATTGAAAATAAAATAAATGATAAACCAAGATTATTATTAGAAAAAAATCACTATACTTAACTTGATAAAGGTATTGGTGATGTTCATTTGAAATTTGAGGTTACAGACTAACTTTTGTCCATTCTTGCTGTGTTTTTTATGACTTACAACAATCATTGAAATAAAATATCAAAAGAAATATTGCAATCAATATAATCAAATATAAACTGGCTACCCAACAAAAAAAAAAAAAAAACACAAATGAAATAATAAGATATTTTTATTGTTCTTTCAAAAAAAGTTTTGGAAATTTCAAACTCTAAAAAATTATAGAAATGCCAATTCAAATCATGATTTAAAAACTGAAATAAGATACTGTTTAGTGAATTTTTATTAAATTTCATGTAATGTGGTTAAGTATCTCCAATAAATTGCAGGATATCAGTATTGCCCCCCTGGTCTTCAAAGGGTTAAACTAAAATATTTATGTGGATTAACTTTGATAGAAATAGTGTGTGAAGTGTAGTAGTAGAATAAGGAAAGTTTTGGTTTCTTTTTATAGATTGATGAAGTGATTCCTTACATTCTAAGTTTCTGTTTCTTTACTTCATGTGCTTTAAACCTGTTTTGTAACAATGTTTTGATAAACTCTTAATGTTTCATTAATAACATTATAAAAATTTCTTAGACTACTTAAATTCCAAGACTACTAAGGAGCTTTGATATCAAAAATACTGAAAAAAGTAGATTTAAACTTGATAGCACTTGAGTAATAGCCAAAAAAAAAATTGTTAATAACATGGGTACCCATCTGGTGATTCATTGTATTTTAATCGTCTCAGGTTTTAGTTTTTTGTGTATTGATTTCTAATTTTTTTTATGTACTCCATAGTTAGTTTGGTATATAGAATTGAGTTCATTAACTTACAAATTAACTTTGATTAGATTGATTTAATTGACTTATATTTGATCAGAAGCTACTAATAATTACAAGAAAATAAAAATTTTTTTTGTATATCTTTAGTACTGGGTTAAAATGTCATAATCTCATACTAGCTTGTTTTCTATTACAGATGTTTTTAAATTTGATCCTGAATATGAGGCAAATGAAGAAAAGTACAAAACAATAAAAATGAGTAAGTTGGCTTTCTATGTTTTTAAAAACAAATTAATCAGAAAAAAGAAATGCAAAGACAAAATAATAATTTTGAAATTGTCATGTGATTATTTATATTAGGTAGCAATTGTTAACGTGCAGGGGGGAAATTCTGCTGGTACTCACCAGTACTAAGTACCGGAACATGTTTTAAGGCAGTACTAATACCGCGACTTATTTGAGCTGCCTTGTTTTTTATGTTGATTTTTTTTTTCAAAATCATGTCTGCTTCACCCAGCTGACTACCCCTATTTTGAGAATTTCACCCCTGATTGAACTTTTTAATTATTTATAAAATATATTCCATTTTCATTTGTAAGTACTGTACTTAAGGACTTAATTTCTAATCAGAGTTTGATACCAAGTTAATAACTAATATGATAAAGATAATTTCATAATTAACTAAAATTTATTGTATGGAATTTGAATTTAAGGTATAGGGCTATAAGACTAAATTATCAATTACACCCAATATTTGAATTAGGTTACTGACTGGCAAACAAATGAAATGACTGCTATGTTTGAACATATTTTTGCCTGTTTGTATTCATTAATGTTACAAGCACACCTATTTTTCAAATCAATGTTGCTTCTAAGATGTGTACTTCTTGTATTTATGCTATTTTGATTGCCACTGACATAAAATAATCATTTGCTTGCGTACTAGTTCATGCAAAAACAACAGAAGTTTGCATTTTAATGTTTCTTGTTTGCCCACCCTTCAAAATGTGTTATGCATTATTTCGTAGGATAGATCACATTTGTAACCAAAAAATTCCAAACAATAATTAGCTCATTTGGATATGTAAAGGAATGTGATTTGCTGCATTATGATGTCATTTGATTTTGAGGGAGATTCCTTTAATATTATGGGATATCAATGATTGAAAATGGCAGAGGAAACAAAAGGTACGAAGACATTCAATAAGCTTTTAATTTTCAAAAAAATCACTATTTTGTCATCTAAATGATGAAAAAATAACAATAAATAAAGGAAAAAGGTGCAGAGGAGATGACTGCAATGTAAGTTTTGTCAGTGAATGCGTAGATATTTTCAGTACATTCACAAATGAAACAAATTGCAATGATTCAGTTTACTGTTTCTGCAAATGAAAGTTACTTGATCATGTTATGCATTTATGACTCGTGAAGTTGATACCTATTTCATTACATGGATGGCCCATTTACCTGCAATAATGGTGGATTTAGCCCCCTTGAGAAAAATCCTAGAAGCAACACTGAAAATAGTTATGCAGTTATGAGATGCTGATCTGTCTACCATAGTATATACTATATGTAGTGGTACAAGGTTCAAAATTACCCCAAAAAAATGACTTGCACTTGCCACAGGTAGAGATAGAATTTAACTTTTGCCAGAAAATTTTAACTTGCACTGACCTCATAGCTATAACTAACTTGCTCCAGGCCTAACAAACAAAACTTACATTAGGTCTTGTACTTTTTTTCTGAAAGAGTTAACCATTGGTGAAATTAGAAAACTAAGTGCTAATAGATCAGCAGTCTAAAAACAGGTAGGTAGGCTTGCCAAAAAATGGAGGAAAAAGTACATATCTTTGTAGGAAGAAAGTTTGGACCATATGAAGAATTAAAGACTACAAAGGTCTGGCATGGCTTGGTGGTTAGGGCACTTGACTTGTAATCTGCTGGTCATGGATTCGAATCACTGTGGCACTAAACATGCTTGCCGTTTCAGCCGTGGAGGTATTATAATGTGACGGTCAATCCCACTATTCATTGGTAAAAGAGTGGTCCAAGAGTTGGTGGTGATGACTAGCTGCCTTCCCTCTAGTCTTACACTGCTAAATTAGGGCCGGATAGTGCAGATAGCCCTCGTGTAGCTTTGCACGAAATTCAAAACCAAAGACTGCAATAGATTCTTTAATTAAAGAACTTTTTCATAGTTTTACAAAGATTGGTTCAGTGAGTACAGTACATACATATGGTTCAATCTCTTAGGTCAAATTTATTATTGATTTACTACTATTACTTGGTCATATTTACCTTACTTCCATTGTTATTGATCTTTTTTTCAACATGTTGGGTCTACTTTGACCTTGTATATGATGAAAGCCTGCTGTATATAAATTTTGTTTTATTTGCTCACATCGTATGAACCATCATGAAAACCCGTGTTAACGTGAAATGAAGTGTACAACCGATTGCTTATGTGAGTACTTACCAGTCAGATGAAGCTTCTCATACACTACTTCTTGCTCATTGTAAACAACAAATGGTGGTCAGTTTTGTGACTTGGCAGCTATATATTTATCATTTAGGGGAATTTTGTGAAAGCTCTTGACTAGAAGACTTACTGATGCACAATACAAATTGGTATTTCACTTGCTTCAAGTTGTATTCTACTTTTGAAAAACAAGAGCTATATAGGAGTAAGCAAAATCGTAAAAACTTCTGTAGCATTGGTCTAATATAAATACATTAAAAATAAGCAATAGTTTGATGTTTAATTTTGAGAGGATCTATTTCTAAGGTATTTGTCATATATTATTTTTATAAAAATATACAACTTAAGTTTTTACAACTGAATAAGGAAAATTGACTTCCGTTTAAGACAATCTTCAGCTTTTAAAAAAGTGAGGGATAGATTAATAGAAGAGAAAATTAATATTTTGTCTTGAAAAATTAATTTTTGAATAGTTTAAAAAACAAAAAAATATTTTCTGTTAATAATTTAGAAACTTTTATTTTGTATAGAATATGTAAATTGTTAATAAATTAGTATGTTCACCATTTAAGGTAACATGATTGGATTTAATGATATGTTTTTTAACTTTTGAAATAATTTCCACTTTTTATTTTTAATCTTTCAAATGGTAATAAAAAAAGCTTAATTTGTAAGTGTTCATATTTATATATATATTGGGAAAATATATATATGTCAAACACATACTCATCCTTAGTATTATTTCAAAGTTGTTTAATGAGGTTTCAAGATTAAACTTTTCCTCAGTCTTAGTTGTTTCTATAATATTAATATAGAATATTTTCACTGCATAAGTTATAACAATCTGTAGAAGTTCATATCTACAGCCTCTTGTGGTTCAGTGGTGAGTTCGAAGACTTGTGTGTTAATAGCCAGGTTTTGATACCATGATGGACAAAGAGCAGATATCCCATTGTTTAGCTTAGCACTTAAAAACAGTTACTAAGTATTTTAACAAACTGATTAAGAGTTTAATATTATTTTAAGTTTGTCTGTAAAATACCAGAGGTTCTTTTATATAACCAATTTTGTGTTGTAAGCTTTCATTAAAATGTTTGAGCATTGCAAAGAACTTTTGTTAGGGTTTTTTTTATATGTGTTTTATGTAAACTCGTTCAAAATCTGAAATTTTCAGATTGACCAATATGAAGCTCTTAACAACTAGAACATTGTATCACATAAATATAGTTAGTAAAATCACAAGGAAAAGATTGATTAATATAGAAATTGATTGAACTACTACCACTACTGTTTAATGGTAATGTTTTATTTTTTAAGCAACTTTTAGTACATAAGTGACAACATTAATTATTATATTTAAAAGTACTCTTTTTATCATAAATGTTAGGTCTATTTTTAAAACATAAAAACGTATTTAAATTTTTAGGCTGATGATAAACATTTATAATTTTGAAATTATAATGTTTTTTAAGCTTATACAACTCCCTGTCAATGTTCATATTTTACTTATATTAGGTATTAATTCCAAAGTCTATGTATTGACAAATGGTAATAACTTAGGTTTGTCATCATTATTGTTTTTTTCTGTTAGATTTTCAACAATCTTCTAGAATTGAATGTTCAAAAATGACCTCTGGAAAATTTCTTTGTAATAAATAGTTATTTTCAATCTTAAGTATATTTTTTGGTATCGCAAACAGTTAGACTAATTATTTTGGTCAAATTCAAAATAAAATTTAATCTTATATGTCTTAAAGTTCAAATGTTTGTGAAAATTCACATTTTTGTTGTTTTGATAGTGTTATCTTTAATTATAATATCTAAAAAGTTAGTGTGTGTGTGTGTGTGTGTGTGTGTTTATATGTATATCCTTTTTTCACATGTGAAATTTATGTAACCTCTTCAGAAGTTTTGATTGTATAAGAAAACAATCATTTAGATATCTGAATCAGTGTGATGCTATAAAATGTACAGTTTTTATACCTAGTTTTTCAATTATCAAAACATACATACTTGTTTCAAGAAATTCCATTCTTAATGTTGCTTTATGTGGGAACAGTTTTTGGCCTCAATGCTGTTCTTTTCTTTGACAATGAGTTAAACATATCAAGAATTGGTCTTTTGTTTTCTTGGAATATACACGTGTGTGTGTGTGTGCAATGTATAAGTTCTCATTGAAGTGTGCAATTCTCCACAATAGGTATCTTAGGAGAAAACGTTAGTGGGTCAGAAGATAGTGATTCTGGAAGTGAATCTGATGATGAGGATGAAGATGACGAAGAAAATGAAGGTATGCATTTGGAATAAATGTATTTAAAGTGTGATGAGTACAGTTTAAATGTACCATATATATTTTTTTCTCACCAATACTAGGGACAAAAGGCACTTTTTGTACGATATAAAAGCTAAGCCTTTGTAACAAAAAAAAATGTTGCCATGCATTTGTCTTAGGTGCTATGAAAATAGTTTTTTATTCAATGTAAGTGTTTTTCTGAATCATAAGTATGCATTGTATACAGATTTGAAAAAAATATTCATTGGTATGGTAAAAGATAGTGTTGTTTTGATAGTGTTATCTTTAATTATAATATCTAAAAAAATCTTCTAGAATTGAATGTTGTACTAAACTTATATATAGTGGAGTTGTTGTATCTGGTTTATGTAAATAAATATACCAGACTTAAATCCTATGAGCATGGGTATGCCAAAATGTATATGTCAGGACCCTCATATAAAGTTACATTCAAAGTTTAATTGACTGTGTTATCAATATATGTCAAATTTGGCATCGAGATGTTATCTCTAATTCAAGCCCCCATTGGCACAGCAGTATGTCTGCGGACTTACAATGCTAGAAACCGGGTTTTGATACCTGTGGTGGGCAGAGCACAGATAGCCCAATGTATAGCTTTGTGCTTAACTACAAATAAACAAAACTCTAATTCAAGTTTTAACATCATATAAGTTTTAATTTATTAACTTCAAAAGGAACTACTTAAATAAATCATCACATTTTTGTATCATGTGATACTTATTCTCTTTGAATTGTCCATTTTAGGTTTTCTTTCCACCCCAGTATTGGTCTTGAGAATTTGACACAAAGTACATATTTATAGTATAGATATTGCTAAGCAATAATGTAAATATATAGCCTCCAATGTTCTTGCTTTACAAAGCTATAAACAAAAAAGTCAATCCTATATTCCATACCTTTTCTATTACATCCTATCTTTCAAAAAATATCAATAATTCATAAATCACAAGATTGTCTGTTTCGTTTGAATCATCAAAGTTGGTAATTTGCCATCAGAACTTGATGGGTTTGGGCAAAGACTTTGATCTGAAATGTAGTTAAATTTTCTAATGTAATATAGTAAGTGATATGTTTGTGGAGAACCGACGTAGTTTAGATAATCATCATAACAAAATTATGAATAATACAGAGACTTGTTCTAACAAAATTATGAATAATACAGAGACTCGTTGTAACAAAATTATGAATAACACAGAGAATCGTTCTAACAAAATTATGAATAACACAGATACTCCTTATAACAAAATTATGAATAGCACAGAAACACATTAGGACAAAATTAGGAGTAGCACAGAATCAGGTTAGAACAAGATTATGAATACAACAGAACCATTATAACAAAGTTATGAATAGCACTGAAACACACAAGAAAATTATGAATAGCATGGAGACTTAAGATAACATTGAAAATGTGTATGAGACTGTAATGTCACTTTCTTTACAAAGTATATCTAAGTCAAGAATAATCATTTGAGGCACGTAAAATACTAAAGTATTATATAATGGACATTAGTCTAACATCTCTTTCAATAGAGAAGACTCTGAAATATTTATTTACGTAGAGAAGAATGTAGTAAATTTCCTAACAAAAGATACTACAATACATGATAGCTCAGAGATTGTTGTGATATCTCTTTCTATGCAGGAAATATGAAATACTTGGTCACTTAATTATCAATGTAATATTTCTATCTTCAAAAGATGACAAAATATTTGATATTTGATAGAGAAGAATATAATAATCCTTAGTTACAAAAAATAAAATGAGATTTATGATAGCTGTAATAAATATCAATCTAATGTAACCTCTCTTTCCTTACAAAATCTATTGATATCTAAGATCAGTATTTTCCATAAAGAAGATATGAATATGTTAAACAAAAAACAATCTATTAAACTTATTATTTTCATTTTAGAAGATACAGAAATTGTGGATAACACAGAGACAAATCTTATATCACTTCGTCGAACCATCTATCTATCCATTCAGTCCAGTTTAGACTTTGAAGAATGTGCTCATAAGCTACTAAAACTGGAGTTTAAACCAGGGCAAATAGTAAGTATGGCTTTCTTTAGTATCATTTTCTTCATAGGAAACCTTGAAGAAACAATAACAAAAATCATTTTCTTACTTTACATTTTTAGCTTCATCTCTCTTTTTTTTAGAATGTTCATGGATTAAGTACAGTTTTAATAATCCTAAATATTTTAAATCTCAATATATAAGTACTTTGTGTTAACCATGTGATTTTTGTTTAAGATAGTTACCTAACATTAGACAATCTTTTAGTCAGTTGCTTTTTTAATTTAACTGTAACTATAAGTAGGTAAGTTACATTCAGAGTTACACATATATTAAAATATTTTGTCTACCTGGAACAGGTGAAGTTTGTTAACTGTGTTAAATTATAAAAGATATAAATTTTGTTTTTGAAATATATTTAATGGTGTTGAATAATGTAATAGAGAAAACAACAACTATATTAACAGTTTTGTAATAAAAATATGATAGATTTTTGGTTGGTAGCAGAATGTACGAAAATATGTTTCTGTCAAAGTGCCTGTTGTGTATCAGTAATGTTTCACAGAATGATTTCTCTAAAGATTATATTTTGAAACTGATCAGTCTATTTTTTATTGAAAAATTAAGTGGGTTGAGACTGAAAATTATTGTATACTTTAAAGGTGTTATAACATAGTTGATAAAACATTATGGTTGTTTATATTACTTCTATTAAAGAAAAAAAGGAAAAAGATTGCTTGTTTAGTGACAATGCAAAGACACAAGGCTATCAAATTCAAAACAAACTGTGTTTTCCATACACAATGAAGGTACTACTGTACAAAAATACTGTTGAAATTTGGATGTAATGAGAAATATTTGTTTTAGATAGATGCTTTGCAACTTACCTTTAAAGTTCCATTTAATAGCCTAACACTAATGTTAATAGCTTATCAAACATTCCTCTGTAGGTATTCTTTTGAATTTTAGTAACCTCCAAACATAAATAGAATCTCTCATACTATTCATCTGCCCAGTGGCACAGCGGTATGTCTGTGGACTTACAATGTTAGAAACCGAGTTTCAATTGTGGATTGTTGTTTTAAACTTCCTGATATACAGGGACAAATCAAACTGAATAAAATTATTTTTGGCCTACTTTCACATAGCATGGGAGAAAAAAATAGTCTTAAAAATTTAGTTAATACAAAATCACTTTAGACTGAAAGTCATTTCATAATTTTATGGCAGTATTTTGTTTTAATAGGTGGAGTTGTGTCACATGATTCTGGATTGTTGTGCTCAGCGAAGAACTTATGAAAAGTTTTATGGTTTACTAGCACAGGTACTTGTAGAGCAGTTGTTTTCATAGGTTTACTATTTCATCTATGATAACCTATTTAATTTTTTAAATTACATTTGTGTGTTATAGTTAGTTACGTAAAAAAAATTATATGTACATATTTATGTATAACACATTTTCAGAAATTTCCATAACCTTAAGATTAGGATGTTGTTATATAATAATGATAATCATAGTTTATATAATTTTCAAACTTATATTTGTATTTCATTGCATTTACATTTGCAAGATGAAGCTTTTGGGAAAAGAAGTAACTGAATCTTTTAAAAGAACAATTGTGCCTTAAAAGATTGCATTAAACAATTAATAATGCTCGTTATTTTTGAAACAAGTATTTGACTCATCAAAAATGTTTGAAGTTCCCATACTTTTTATTCTTTTTATAATGACAGAGATGTGATTTCTTGTTTTTTTAACAGAAATTTAATTATTTTCCTCATTGAATCACACAGAAACCTCTTAAATAAATCATGTTTTGTATGAATTTGAAATGCTTAAATGTATAGTGTTAAAACATCTATTGTATGGAATATGTTATAGCGAAAGATGTGTTTTATGATTGTGTGTTAGTTGCTGAAATGTAATGTATGATGGTGTATGAAACATTTGTCATGGTAATGATGTAATGTTGAAACAGTTTATCTCAAAGGTGTTATGCTGAAACTTGGAATACAAATACGCAATTATAGAATACACTATAACTTGTAATTCTCAAACATGTATTACAAAGTTAGTGTTCAAACTCCTTGTAAAATACACTTTTATTTCTGTAAAAAAAAATGTTTTATAAAATTATGTAAATTTTAACCCCAAGGCTGTGTAATTCTGGTAGATTTGGTTATTCATTATGTATGAATCTTTTTTCTGGACAAAATTTCCTTAGTTTAAGTTCATTAATAATTAAAATATTTGTAGTTTTATTTGAAATGAAACAGAAGAACTCAATATTGAAGTAAAGAGCACAGCATGAAAATAATTATATATAAATTGTAAGCAAATATAATCTTTTCTTTCAATGCTATTTTATCCTCGACAGCGTTTCTGCCAACTAAATAAAACTTATGTGGAACCAATGGAGGAAATTTTCAGAGGCACGTACGATACAATCCACAGATTTGAAACCAACAAGCTCAGAAATGTTGCCAAGTTTTTTGCTCATTTATTATATACAGATGCAATAAATTGGACGGTAAGAATGTGTAGATTATTTGTAATCTGTACCTAATTTCACTGTGAAGTTTGTATTGCTTTTTTTTTCTTGTTTACCTGTAAGTATAGTTATTTGTTACTTAATGTTGATTTTCTTTTCTTTTTTCATGAGTCCATTAATCTCTGAAAATGTAATTTTAATTTGATGTAAGATATATATTGTTAAATGTTTAACCTTTAACTAAATTGTAAGTTTATAAAGTAATATCAGAACTTATAGGTCCATTAGTTAGGTAGCAGTAAGTTTACGACTTACAATGCTAAAATCCAGGGTTTGATTACTTACATTAGACAGAGCGTACATAGGCTGTTGTTTAGCTTGCACTAAAATAAATGGACAATGTATGGAAATGGTATTTAGTATAGACAAATATTTTTGTAGTATGTAAATATGGCCATTTAATAAAGCTTAAAACACTGAATAGAACAGGTGTACTCAAAGTGCTTACAATTTAAAGCATAAGTTTAAACATAAGCCTTTAAACTTGGTGTTCATATACTATAGCTAATATTTTTCATAGAATTCTGAATGTCACTTTTTGCTTAGTACTGAGAGTGAAGGCTATGTTGTTTCATTCTGGACACAAGGTTCTTTTGCTTTTGAGGGATGTGGTCTTCTATGACACCACTAATCCCCCTCAGTCTTGCACACAAGTTCTCCCTTCATTGGGCTCTGCATGATCAATGGAACTTTGCTTGGGATCCCTTGGATGCTCCCATAACACTTCCTCCTTCCCTTGCAGACGATCTCTTTTGGTGGTTGGACAAGGTGTTCCGCTTCTTCCTTGTCTGGAATCACATCTGTTTATGGATGCATTCCTTCAGGGCTGGGGTGTGTTGGTCGATCACCAGGAGGCTTTGGGTCATTAGTCTGTTGACAAATGGTCTTTACATATCAACATCCTAGAGCTCCTAGCCATTCGTCGGGCTTTGGATCACTTTCTTCCCATTGCCAGACATTATCTGGTAATGATCCATTCTGACAATTCATTGGTGGTGGCTTATATCAATCATCAAGGCAGCACCCAGTTGAGATCCTCTGAAGTGCAATTTTATAACCTGTGTCACTGTATTTTATGAAACATTTCAATATTAATGTTTAAAATCTTAATTTGTTGACTTTTGTATGGCTTTCCATGTAATTGTGCCTAGTGATATTTTTAATTCATTAGCAAAGTTTAATTAGAACATGGAAATCGTCATAAACATAGAATTGTATTAAATGTACTGATTGACATTGAAATAGTATTGAATTTTAATATTTCTTGCCATTTTTTTTCAATTTGTTTAAATACAGTTCTCCAAAATTGTACTGCAAAAAATTTATTAATTTTTCTCATCAACTTAATTTTTTTTTCTTTTTGGTTCACTATTTACATGAGTAATTGTTGAAAGTATATTTCCCTACAAAGAATAAATCTAACATTTACATGTTGCACTTGTTGTTAACTGTTGTTATAAGTGAAGTAACTCAACTGATATGATGTTACTTCCAGGACAAAAATAAATGTTTCATGGAAATTCCATTGAGTTTTAGCAGTACATTTATATTTAAAATAAAATAAGACCATCTTATATTCATATTACTTTACACAATCACACTGTCATGTTCCTGCTGTAAGTCTTGTATAATAAACAGCAGTAAATATGGGAACAGAACTTTGACATATGACTACTGTGTTCCTCCATCCAGCAGCCAATATTTAATGATCTTGCCTTTCCTCCTATTTAAATAATATTTGAGAGAAATAGTTAACCAATTACAAGAAAGTTTGAGACTGTGTGAAGTTTATTGTATCACAATATTAGTGATTTTAAATATTAGCTTTTTATTCAAATAAACCAACATCAAAGTAAAATTGGTGTAAAAAAATTGTAACAATCCCACATGAAAATTGAGATTTTATATTACTTATTAAAAAGTTGTTTTATTGGTCTGTATCCCATTTGTCTATGTCTGTGAACTTAAAACTTGTTCATACAATTTTTATTAAGATTTCCACCAAACTTGACAGGAAAGAAACAAATGTTTTATGCTGTGTTAAACCTATTTATAATAAAAGTCTAGTGAAAAAGTATTTTATTTTTCATTTATATTAAATGTACAGATAAGTAACTGATGGTGTGAAAGTGGCATGTAAAAAATATATATATATTAATGAAAATGGCATGGAATTTAGAATTTGCTGATGTAGTAAGTTCATGTGTTACTGTAATTCAACAAAATATTTGAGTGTATCTGTCTAAATTTAAGTAACCTATGAGAAGAATCATCTGTTTAATCTTATTATTTATGAAGTATAGTAGCTTGGTTTTTGGTAACTGTAAAAGAAAAGATATCTTTCTTGTACCTTTTATTTTGTGTGAAACTTTTATTATATTATTTGGCTTTGAATGTTGCATATGAAGTTATTTTCGTACTTATATCAGTTCACAAGACACCTAATCACAAATTCAAGTTAGAGTTTTGTTTATTATACAATATAGAATTTAAGTTGTTTATCATTGGCACACACACCTGAGGATTTTATTGCCATGTAACTTAAACTCGATGGATTTTTTAATCATTTAAGTGAATATAAGATATTGAATATCTATTGTCTCTTTATTTATATATAGTTTAGTTATTCAATATCTGATAAAAGATATATATATATATATATATCAAAAACAAGACTGGAAGTTTCATGTTTTTACAAACCAACAAATGAATATTTAATGGACTTCTTATTGTGTGAAAGATGCTGTTAAACTTTCAGAATAATTTATTAAAACTTAAGGAAATTTAACATTATCATGGTTCTTTAAGGTACTATCACATATTCGACTGAATGAAGAGGACACTACATCATCAAGTCGAATCTTTATCAAGATCCTTTTTCAGGAACTTGGTGAATTCATGGGATTGCCAAAACTAAATGAAAGAGTGAAAGATGCGTAAGTTTCAGGTGTTTTTTTTCCATTATGAAATTAAAATAGGATTTATTTATGTTTTTGTTTCATATTAATGTATTTTATTTAACCCTGTGTTCATGGGTGAAGATCAAAGTGCACATTCCGTGACATTTTACAGAGTACCATCCAACATGGCATTATGTATGTGATGTCACAGCTATCAACTATTTATTTTAACCTGCACTGCTGATTTAGCAACAATTCATGATAGAGGAGAGTAATACCAGATAAAATGCACAGGGATACTGAAAAAACTGTAGGTATGCATTTTGGAGGTTATAGAGTTTATTGCAAGTGAGTATTCAAACTGTGCAATGGACAAAAGGATATTTATACATCACAAAAACATAACCTTGTATTTCAACTTGTCCAAATCTGAGTCAGACTGACGTCATTAATTCACAGACATATCTTGAGTGCAAAATCTTTGGGTATCTTATGTCTAAATAGCTTTGAATATTGAACTTATATGCATACTTCTATATACAAAACTCTTCCTCACAATGTCAATATTTTTATTTCTCTGTTATCTCCCTTTTGCCTTTTATTTTCTGTAAAATGTTAACTCAGAATATATTATTTGGCTTTGAATACTGAACTTATTTGCATATTTATATCAATACACAAAACTCTTCATCACAGTTTCAAGATCTTTACCTCTACCACCTAAGGTGGATGGAGGTCATGTTTTCATCCCTGTCTATGTGTGTGTGTTTGTCAGCAAGATCTCTTGAGAATGGATTTTGGTAAAAGTTGGTATACATTTGGACTATGACCCAACTTATAGGGGATTAGCTTTTGGAGGGTCAAGGTCAAAGGTCAGTGTCACAGAAAAGTCACAAAAATACAAAAACATTTCCATCTGTTAACAAGAGGACCGATTTTTCACACCGTTTTTACTTTATAACTCAGTCAAAAATGATCTAATTTTAATGAAACTTGGTGAACATATTTAGATTATTATTCCTCATTGCCTTGCTAAAAATGGTCCATGTCTGTTGATAATGACAGACATACAAACAAATTTTGTATTTTTTGAGAGCCAAATATGATCAATGCTGTGGGGCAGAGGTATGTGCTCTACTGAGTGCTCCTCAAGTTTTGTCTCTTATCCATTGTTCAATAACTTACGTGCATGGAAAGGAAATCCAAATAACAGTTGTATAATGTTTTAGTCATTGTGGTAATGTGCATTAAAACATTAAATCAGGCAAATTTCACATTGAAGTACATGCTGATTAGCTCTGTCTCATTAAGTTATAGCAGTGGTGTAATTAGAACTAAGCCAATAAATATCTGTATCTCAGCACGAAGGTTGCCCAAATTCATACAGTGCATTTTTTTAGATTATGTAATTTTTTTAAAGGTGATTATCCAGTTGAAATTTTTTTTATAAGTATTTTTCTCTTGAAATAACATTTCTGATAGTTTTGTGGATAATTTTTTTAATGTTCAAGTTTAATTCATTAATTTGTTCTTTAAAATTAGGGTTTTTTTTCATTACACAGGACTCTACAAGAAGCTTTTGATGGAGTATTTCCTAGAGATAATCCTAGAAATACAAGATTTGCTATTAATTTCTTTACTTCGATTGGATTAGGAGGCCTGACGTAAGTCATATTTTGTTAAGACCTAATTAGAAAAGCAGGTCTCAATAACTTATAAAAGTAAAAAGAAAATTCAGAAAGAGCAGTTAAATAAAATAAAGTTAGTATACATTGTTAAGATATTCAATGATGACTCTCTACCTAAAATTTTCTTTTCCATTTCAACTTATTATGAGTTGTGTTTAAGCAAAACTATTTATTATGCATTTGATTTTTAAAAATTTTTTCCCATCAGAAAACAGATTTTTATTTTAGATATGCATACAGCTATGAAATTTAGTTTAACATTATTTTTCTGAACCAAAGAAATGAGATTTTCAGAAAACTGATTTGTTTGAGACTTGTATTGACAGTATACAGGTATGTGTGTTAATCTCACTTTTGCATATTTTGGAATCAAACTCAGCATTTCTTCCATGTCAAGTGAGTTCTCTACCAACTGACCTAACATGGTTAACCTTTCTTCTGCTAGTAAGGCACTGTTTGACATCTCAAACTACCATATTTGTTTCATCTCTCATAAAGTGCCAATCCTTAAGAGTAACATCAAAGATGTGGGATGGACACTAATTGGGTTCCAATATTTTTTTGGTAATTTAACTTTTTACATGGCCTCAGATTAAATCTACCAACTGAGCTAAAGGGTTAACTCCCTAGCATGTGCTAATAAGGCAGTTTTTAACAATGTGGGAAACCACATGAGGTTAAAATGAGTTCCTTTGAAAAAGTGGATACCAACAGGTATTTTAAGCTTGTTCTAACAGGTGCATAACTTTAACTACTAAATGGAGTTTATTATGACTTTCGATTATTGAAAAAATGTGTAGAATGTGCTGGACCAAGCAAGCTCGAGGCCTCAAATTCAGAGTAATAAGATCTCGCAGTCCTCTAATAGTTGAGGGTTTAGAGCTGAAATTGGATACATGTTATTTTAAGGGATTAACTAACTGAGATAGTAAATTAACCTTTTTTTATTATTTTATTTGTTTGGACTAAAACAAGGCTCAGAAAATCACGAGACAACAATTAGTTGTTTATCTTACTAGTGCTTAAGAACTGTGCTAAATGTGATAAAGACTTTAATACTTCATGGAATTTACTTTTCAATGATTTTAACCATGTAAAATTATTAATCTTGCTTACCATGTAGAAGTGGAATTATTTTCTTTCAGTCAATGTTACAAGGATCTTTTGGATCATAGTAACACGACTTAGTGATTCAAACTAATCATACTAAGTTATTAAATGGCATAAACTTCAAGTTTATTGGAAGTACGAAGTATATAAGTACATTATGTTGATCTGGCATCTTCAGTTGTTCATTCAATATTTTTTTGGGTTACCTCACTATATCTTCCTGATGATGTGTTTTTTGAAATGAAACAAATGTCTTTAGCTTTGTATTAGATATGAGCAGTCTTAGTTGTTTAAAAGAAAAAAATAATCCGTTATACGTATAACAACATTCTACAAGGCTTGTACTATGATTTTTTTTGGTGGAGTAGTGATGACCTGAGAGAACATCTGAAAAACATGCCCAAAACTTCAGTTGTGCCAGCCCCACAAGCTTCAGGTGAAAAGGAAGGAAGCAGTAGTAGTGGTGACACTAAAAGCTTGTCAAGTTCATCCTCTGACTCTGAGGAAAGCAGTTCATCATCAGAATCTGGTGAAGTGTCATCAGGATCAGAAAGTGATGCAGAAGCTAGCAGCAGTGACAGTTCTTCAGAATCAGGTATATTTCAAAGTATGTTCATTGTGAGGAATACTCTGTGGTTTTTAATGTTCTAGACATTATAAAGTCTGTGTATGTTCTCCAATTTGTGAAAGTGACATAAAGAATTAAAAGTAATTTCAAAAATTTACAAATGCAGCTACAGTATAGACAAGTTCTTAGGAAAATATTGTTTGCGTAAATTGTGAAACAAATATTACACTGTTTTAAATAAGATTTTTTTTACTGTAGCTTATTTTTTTGTCAGTACTTCTGTGATATGAATTAATTTATAAAAGGTTGTTTATATTGAATTTGTATTCAAAACAGTTAGAAATATCTTCTGTACATTAATTAATAAAACATTAGCACACATGTAACCTTAACTTGTGAAGCAAGCAGAGGACTTACTGGTACCTTAGAAAT